CCTCCGCCACCTCCGCTCCCACCGCCACCGCCGCCGCCACCTCCACCTCCACTGCCGCCACCGACCCCTCCACTCCCACCTCCACTCCCACCGCCACCCCCACTCCCCCAACTGCCGCCACCTCCACCTCCACCGCCCCCGCTCGCTCCTCCAGCGCCCTTGCCCCCCTTGCCCTTGCCAGAGCGGCGTCTCCCGCTAGGGGCAGACGCCGCACCGACCGACTCAAGAACAAGGAGGTCGGCCGCAGCAGCAGAGGCAACAGAGGGCAGAAGGGGGGAGGGGGAACACCCCTCAAAGATGGGGGTGCGCGGGTCACCACGAGAGGCCCCTACAGCGACTATGCTCTTCTCGGCCGCTAGGAGGGACTTCTCGAGGAGGTCAACAGTGAGAGTGGTGGGACAGACAGAGAGAAAGTGGTCCCTGACTACGCGAAGGGAGTCAGGAAGGCGAGTGACTATGTAGTAAAGAGTGATGTACATGGGGGGGGGGTTCCTGGCGCAGAAGTCAGGAGGGAGTGCAGCGCGGTAGCGAGTGTCACTAGTGCGGAGGTGCGTAATGAGGTCAGTGACTGTGGGAAAGGCAGTAAGATCAGGAAAGAGGTACGGTAGCATGAGACGGCTCAGTGCAGCAGTGGCAGGGGAGGAGTAGCGCGCAACTACAGCGTCGTACAAGGTCTGAGCACTCTTGTACTGACTAAAGTGCGCACGCTCGGAGGTAGGGAGGTGGCGACGCACAGCAAGACGTGCAGCAGCGTCGCGCGTGGCCCACTGGGAGCGAACAGTGGCGTCAGCATCAGCAGCAGGGGCAGTGGAGGTGCCAGAGGTGAGGTCAAAGAGAGAGAGGCCGTCTGCCCTATCGCACTGTAAGAACAGCTGCAGGTCATCTACCCAGACCTCAAAGTCAATGGCCCTACCCTCAGCGTCAAAGGCGAGAACACTAGGGGTAGCCATGACCCTAGACGACTAGCAGCGCAAACAGTGGGGTGAGGACAGTGCAGTGAAAAGGCGCTGTGCTCACCAGACTGGGCAGGTCGGGCGGCCCTGAAGGAGGGCGGCGCGGCGGCTCGGCGGCTCAGCTGCTGGGCGGCCCGGCGGCTCGGCGGCTCAGCTGCTGGGCGGCTCGGCTGCTGGGCGGCTCGGCTGCTGGGCGGCGCGGCCGCTGGGCGGCTCGGCTGCTGGGCGGCTCGGCTGCTGGGCAGCTCGGCTGCTGGGCGGCTCGGCGGCTCGGCTGCTGGGCGGCTCGGCTGCTGGGCGGCTCGGCGGCTCGGCTGCTGGGCGGCTCGGCTGTGCTGCTGCAGGGCACGGGGCCGCAGGTAAGGGCGGCGGGGCCGCTGGTAAGGGCGGCGTGGCCGCGGGTAGGGTGGCGGGGCCGCAGATAGGGTGGCGGGGCCGCAGCAGAGGGCGGCGGGGCCGCAGGTAAGGTGGCGGGGCCGCAGGTAAGGTGGCGGGGCCGCAGGTAAGGTGGCGGGGCCGCAGCAGAGGGCGGCGGGGCCGCAGGTAAGGGCGGGGCCGCAGGTAAGGTGGCGGGGCCGCGAGGAAGGGCGGCGGGGCCGCTAGGTAGGGCGGCGGGGCCGCGCGATGGGGCGGCGGGGCCGCGCGATGGGGTGGCGGGGCCGCGAGGAAGGGCGGCGGGGCCGCGCGATGGGGCGGCGGGGCCGCGCGATGGGGCGGCGGGGCCGCGCGATGGGGCGGCGGGGCCGCTAGGTAGGGCGGCGGGGCCGCTAGATAGGGCGGCGGGGCCGCGCGATGGGGCGGCGGGGCCGCGATGGGGCGGCGGGGCCGCTAGGTAGGGCGGCGGGGCCGCGCAATGGGGCGGCGAGGCCGCGAGGTAGGGCGGCGGGGCCGCTAGGTAGGGCGGCGGGGCCGCTAGGAGAGAGGCGGCGGGGCCGCGAAGACGGGCGGCGGGGCCGCGGAGACGGGTGGCGGGGCCGCAGTGCAGGGCCGCTAGGGCGGCTCGACGAAGTGAGGGCCCGAAGCGCGACTCGGGCTGAGCGCGCTTCGGGCAGGAAAAAAAAAATCGATGTGGTGGGCCCTAAGCACAGTTCCCAAGGGGGAACCTGCTCGATACCATGAGAAGATTTGAACAAGAAATGAATGAACTATGAAATGAAGTGAGTACAAATATGAAACCCTAATTGGTTGTACCCCCTATGGGATACCCCACTATAGCCTACACAGCAGCATAAGCTATAATGTTCTGACAACTATAGCCTACACAAAGTAAGAAATATAACATTTTGACATATGCGTTGTCCGAATGGCATTGAACGTGGATGATAGCATTGTTACAGCATATTTAAGGGATCCATGCTCTAAAATACTTGTGAGATAACGCTTAGGAGGTGTTTCGACAACACTCAAACGCACCATGCCTATCCGAGCACGGTTTCTTGTATTGTATTGTTCTACGTGGTGTAGAAGCCTCATACGTTGTCCGGATTGCATTAAACGTGGATGGTTGCATTTTTATAGCATGTTTAAGGTATCCATGCTATAAAACGCGTGTGTGATATTCATCGGGAGGTCTTTCGACAACACTCAAACACTCCATGCCTATCCTTGCACAGTTTCATGAATGGGATTGTTTTACAGGGTGTCGAAGCCTCATACGTTGGCCAAATGGCATGGCATTAAATGTGGATGTTAGCATTGTTATAGCTTGTTTAAGGAATTCATGCTCTGAAATGCTTGTGCAATAATCATCAGGAAGTCTTTCGACAACACTCAAACGCACCATGCCTATCCTTGCACGGTTTCTTGTATGGGTTTGTTCTACGCAGCGTCGAATCCTCATACATTGTCTGCATGGCATTATGCGTGGATGGTAGCATTGAAATAGCATGTCTAATGGATCCATGCTATAAAATACATACGCAACGAAACCTTGTACGTTTTCTGAATGGCATCGTACGTGGACAGTAGCTCCATAATAACATGTTTGAGGGATTCGTGCTCTGTAATATACGCGCCCCTGGTGCATGCATTCCTGTGCGTCCTTGTTAATCGTATCCTTCTGGACATGCGTTGGTAGCATCACGGTCCACAAGCGCTCTGCACCCAGCCACACAACACCTAGGGGTAAACCATGAAGAAAATGCGTCCCTTTGTAACCAGAGCAACCTGGTTATTACGCAAGTGTCTGAACTACCTACGCGACAACTTCTGCATCAATTGTTGCGCGCCAATTCCAACTGTCTAGGCTGGAACGGCCTTGAAGCAGGGTTCTAGATTCTGTTTCAAAAGGCGTATGTTTTCCGACGGTGCAACGTTAGAGCTATTGAAGATATGAAAGGCCTGGGTTGTGATGCTGCCCGCATGTAACTTCATGTCGTTTTTAATGCCAGTCGTTCCGAAGCACCCAACTGGTAAGCGATAACACTACCAACATAATAGACCTCTAGCTTGGGTTCATGCGCATGCGCAAACCTTAAAAAAAAAAAGGTAAATGAACTACTATCTTAAACAAATATTTGCTATGGTGTGTAGTGTTCATAAAACTAAACTATATGAATAGATGTCTGCAACCGCCGTTGTTACAACGAAATCTAGGCACCTTGCCTTGATTCCGCGCGGCACTTGTATGGAGCAGTGTGTCTCCTTTTGTTGCAGTGAGTTCCTCCAAACCCGATTCCTCCAGCGTTGCCTAGCGGATGAAACCTGCGTCGCCTTGCCCCGCACGCGAGCTCCACTCCCCCGCCCCCCTGCAAGCCCCTAGCGTAATATGAGCGGCGGATTCAGCTGGCGTGGGCTCCCCGCGTCGAGCCCTGCCACGCCAGGCGCCACGCAACCCTGCCCAGATTCCATGCCACACTTGCCTGGCCATACAACGTTGCTCCCTTTTTCCCGTGGAAACGACGTCGTCGTCGCTCCTGCCAGCGACGGGCCGGCTGACTGGGAACCTGGCCAGCTGGACCATGTCGTGACCCTGCCTTGTTTCCGTGCCACACTTGTATGGAGCTATCGTGCTTGTTAGGTGGGGATGAACCTGCGACACGAGATACCCCCCCGTTTCTGTAACTTGACTGCAAATCTACCCTGCGGTGCGCCAGTTTCTCGCCAATCGGAAGTAGGTTGGTGTAACCATTTCCCTATTGGCGACATTATCTAGAGGGCTCTACACGTAAGAACCTGGCCATCGTTTTTACCCCTTCCGCTTCAACAAAACCCTCAACCCTTTTGCTCGTATCACGCGCCTTCGCTGGATTTACCCGCACACATCTCTCGAACCCCAGACAGAACCATAGGGGGCCTGAGAGCAGAGACGACCCGTTTTCAAACTTTAAAATTTTTTGAAGGTTAGCACGCAGCAGCACGAGCGCTTTGAGAACCAAAGAGAACAACTTTGTTGTGGATGCTCGTCTTGCTCATGAGCGTTGGTGATACGATGTCTGTGAACTTGGCGACAGCTAGATATATTGTTGCTGGTGATCGCTTGGCGATTATAAAAGGCACGTTGAAACAAACTGATAGTATGTTTCTCAATGTTTTAGAGGTCGTATTATATCCACCATGGAGACAGCCAGAACGCGCCGGTTTGATAGACCTGGTAGAGGCACAAATATCCGGTACTCATCCGTGTTCGCCTCAGTTTGTGCTCTAGGAGCAGAGGACCGTGAAGAAGTGGTGCAGGCAACTGTGGCGGCAACAACCAGCAATGGGAAGCAATATTTAAAACATTTCACTTCGTATTTGTAACCGAATTTCTGCGAGAGATGGGTTTGTTGTACGTCAATAGAATACTCCGCAGTATACTAACCATGTGAAAGTGTTGATGATGTGCAGGCGAGAGTACCCTTTCCCTCAACCAGCTGTCCCTGGGAGGACTTCACAACCCGGCGAGTACAATTGGGATGACTGGGGGCCGCCGCACGGGTTCTCGCCGCTCGATGGTTCGCAAAGGCTCAAATCAACAGCAGCTGCGGCCCAACTCTGCTCGCGCCGCGCCAATCACTTGACAGCAGCAGTAGCAGATGCAGACGACCACGGGTCAGCATACCTCGACTAATGGACAGCAGCAGCAGCAGATGCAGACCACCACGGGTCTGCATACCTCACTATATGGGCAGTAGCAGCAGCAGCTGCGGAACTCTCCTAGTGCCACGCCAACCACTGGAATGCAGGAGCAGCGGCTGCCCAACTCTCCCTGCACCACCCCCACGATTGGAGAGCAGCAGCAGCTGCTGCAGAGTACCACGGGTCTGCATACCTCCATGAATGGACTGCAGCAGCAGCAGCAGCAGCAGAAGCAGCAGCAGCAGCAGCAGCAGAAGCAGCAGCAGCAGCAGCAGCACGCCACGGATCTGCAGGCCTCATCGTATGGCAGCATCAGCAGCAGCAGCCCGCCACGGATCTGCATGCCATACCGTATGGGCAGCAGCAGCAGTAGCAGCAGCCCGCCACGGATCAACATGCCTCACCATATGGGCAGCAGCAGCAGCAACAGCCCGCCACGGATCTGCATGCCTCACCGTATGGGCAGCAGCAGCAGCACCAGCCCGGCACGGATCTGCATGCCTCACCGTATGGGCAGCAGCAGCAGCAGCAGCAGCCCGCCACGGATATGCATGCCTCGCTGCATGGGCAGCAGCAGCAGCAGCAACCCGCCACGGATCTGCATGCCTCACCGTATGGGCAGCAGCAGCAGCTGCCCGCGGATGTGCCATCTTCGCCGCATGGGCAGCAGCAGAGATGGAACCTCAGGTACCTGAGCCTGGTTACGAGGGGCTACATGAGTATAGTGATGCTGATGAGGAAGGGGGACAAGGAGTGGAAGGAACGAAGCTGTTTCGGACAGCTTCGTACGTGTCTGACGACAGCAAGCGCGTGGAGACCTTCAAAAAGTGGCTGGGCCTTCTGCACAAGCTGCACAACCATAAGCTGCCTGGTAAGCCATAATAGGAGTATGCTGTTGTTTTCCAATGTTTTGTCAATTGCATGTCTCTCGCGTTGGTGACACGTGCACGTGGTGCTCACCGCTGTTCGTTGGACTAATGCCCCCCACTCCTACTTGTGTATGCACGCGTCGCCCAAGTTTACACCCCGTACCCGCCCCATGCCAGGGTTCGACTACAAAAGGGCCGGTCCAAGTTTAGTGCTGTTTTCACCCATCCACTCCCACCCTGGACTTCCTACCCATGTTTCTGTTAGAATGTGAGCGAATGAATGACTGAACTAAAAAGCAGGTGGGTACATATAGGAAACCTAAAAGTGTTGTATCCTGTAAGGACTACTCCACTACAGCCTAAACAGACTATAGCATATAAGTTTGACACACCCCCATAGGCAAAGTGGGGGAGTTTAAGAGGTCACAAGACCAGTCAAGAAAGGTAAAGTAAGCTTAGGATGGATCACAAAGTCACTACCCTAGTCTGTGCACAAGCAAATGGCCACAAGGCCAGTTCACGTGCAGAGTTATATAAAGGAGAACAAACAATACAGTGAACACAACCTAGCAAGTGAAAGCATGCAGATAAATGTATAAACAGTACAGTACAAGCAAAATGAAGTAGTAAGCAAATGAGGCACAATAGGTACAAGGCATATACACGCTCAGTTTCAGCACAGTTCCCGCACCCCCAGTTCCCGCACCCGCAGGCTCAGCACCCCTAACAGCACTTGAGTCGACACCTACCTTGACCGGCTCGGCAGTGTCTATCTGGGACATACCTGAGGGGGCAGGACCCTGGGGGGGGAGGGGGTCTGCCGGGAGAGTACCTGGTGCTAGAAAGCGCGGCGGGGGAGGGAAAGTGACAGTGCGGTAGGGAAAGATTGTCAGACGTTCACTGGTGATCCCCGATTGATCCTAAGGAAGGGTTACAGGCTCGTTGTCCTGGGAGGTTATGGACGCACTGACCCGCTACTTAACAAGCCCTTTTATCCCAATGGTCAAGTGGTTGGGATTCTGACAAAGAGACGGTAGTAAGACACCGACTCGTCAAACGTGATGTCCTGAGAGGACAGAACACGACGCGAGGTGGGGTGGTAAAACTGCCACCCGGGTGCGTCAGGAGGGAAGCCAAGGAAGACACAGGAAACGGCACGGGAGGACAGCTTGTCTGCTGAAGTATTGCGGACAAAAGCTCGAGATCCCCAGACACGGAACGCGGACGCATCACCAACCATCTCCGGCAAGGAGACACGAGGCTGAAGGTTGATCTGATGCGCAGCGTACTGAACCGCTTATGGCCACAGAAAATGGGGAGCAGCCGCATGGATCATGGATGTACGAGCAACGTCCATGACCATGCCAATGCGGCGCTCAGCAATCCCATTTTGCTGTGGGGAGGCCGGAAGCGTGAATGTCTGGCGGATGCCCTCCGCACGACAGAAGGCTCTCAGGAGGTCGGAGGAAAACTCACCACCTCTGTCTGAGTGCAGACGCAGAACGGGAAGGTCCGAGCAGAAACTCTCACGGAGCCGGCGACGAGTACCGCGGATCCAGTCGATCAACACCTCAGGGACCTCACCCTTGGTGCGCAAGGGGAAGACTGTGGTGTAACGCGAGTAGTCGTCAATGACCAGCAGGAACTAACGCTCGTGACTCTGTCCACGGACGCGGGCTGGGCCCCACACGTCCATGTGAAGAGTCTGCAGAGGAGCCTCAGACGGAGGGAACGTGGAGGAGTGAGGAGCGGCGCGCTGCCGGCCCTCGACACAAAAAACACAAGTAGGGGCAGGCCCCGGAGAAAGGGGAGGGAGGGACCGGGGTAGACCCGAGACAAGGGCACGGGAGGCCATACCTCGAAGACGAGGCAGGGAGGGGTGACCAAGGCGGTGGTGCCAAAGAAGAGTCTCGTGCGACAGAGGACGACACGAGCAGGGGGCAGACGTAGGACTAGACCTGGACGCGGCAGCAAACACCTGACTAGACGCAGCTACCTGACCAGACGCATAGACCGGAGGAGGCGCAGTAGTCAGTGTGTACAGACTCGACCCTGGCCTACGGGTGAACGTGGCCAGGTGGCGGCCCGTCCGAGAGCAAGTGCAGTGGGTCAGACGCTGACCTCCAGGGGTGAACTGGTCAACCCACGCGTCCTGGAGGTCAGCTCCACTCACCAAGTTCGTAGAGAACGAGGGGAGGTGGAGTCCCGACAGCAAGCCCGACGGGGCCGCAGGACACGGTAGAACCGTGGAAGAGTGCGCAAGGACTGGGCCCCTAGAGGGGTCAGCAAAGGAGACTGCGACAGGCCGACTGAGCGGCGTGGGTGTGGTGCTGTCTCTAAAGAAAGAGCGCGAAGCACCATAGTCAAGTGTGAAAGTGTGCAAGGACTCAGTAGGTGCAGTACCAGAGAGAGCAGACTCACCAGCACCTGGAGCAGCAGACTCACCAGTACCTGGAGCAGCAGACGCACTAGCACCTAGAGCAGCAGCCTCAATGCCCGGGTCGGGCGGGACACTCAGGTAACAGTCACCCTCAGCACTATCAGACAAAGCATACATGGCAGCAAGGATAGCATCGAAATCAAGATCAAAGATAGGCACATTCTGCAGAAGCAGATCATGCCAGCGAGGGAGCTCTACAGCGTCAGGAAACTGGGCACGCCAGGCGTCAGTCAAGCGACCGAAGCAGCGTTGCGTAGTGTGTGGCAGCCCACACACCTCCCCACGACGACTGCCGGTGCGAAGAACGTAAGTGCAGGGACCAGCACCCCCAGGCCTCCCACGCCCAGCATACCACTCACGAAGCTGCTGGGCCGACGGGATCTCACGGGAGCGCGGCTACTGTTGGCGCTGGCTACCACCAAAGCCTCCACGCTGCGCGGCTGCACCTCGACCAGCACCACCGCCGCCGCCACCTCCACCACCGCTGCCGCTGCCTCCACCACCTCCACCGCCGCCACTGAAGCCCCCACTCCCGGTACCATCCCCACCTCCACCGCCACCCCCTCCACCTCCTCCACCTCCTCCACCGCCTCCCCCGCCGCCCCCTCCACCACCCTTGCTCCCCTTTCCCTTGCTGTTGCGGCGTCTCCCACTAGGGGCACATGCAGCTCCGACCTCCTCAGTGCCAACGAGGTCGACAGCAGCAGCAGAAGCAACAGAGGGGAGAAGGGGGACAGGGGAACACCCCTCAAAAAAAGGGGTGCGACGGTCGTCGCGAGAAGCACCTACAGCTAAGATACTCTTCTCAGCTGCAGCAAGGCGCTCCTCTAGCAGGTCGACAGTCAGCTCGGTGGGGCAAAGGGAGAGAAAGTGGTCCCTGACTGAAGCAAGGGAATCAGGGAGGCGGGTGACTAGGTAGTAAAGGGTGATGTACATGGGGGGGGTGTTCTTGGCACAGAACTCAGTGGGAAAGGCAGCGCGGTAGCGGGCGTCACTAGTGCGAAGGTGGGCAACTAGGTCAGTGACTGTGGCAAAGGCAGCAAGGTCAGGGAAAAGGTACGGCAGCATGAGGCGGCTGAGGGCAGCAGTGGCAGGGGAGGAGTAGCGCGCAACTACAGCGTCGTACAAAGACTGAGCAGTCTTGTACTGGCCAAAATGCGCGCGCTCAGCAGGCGGCAAGACGAGCAACAAGACGAACAGCAAGACGAGCAACAGCGTCACGAGTGGTCCACTGCGAGCGAACCGTACTGTCAGTAGTGGCAGCAGGAGCAGTACAATCACCGGACGTGTGATAAAAAAGGGATACCCCATCCCTAGAATCACACTGAAGAAAGAGCTGCAGGTCGTCAACCCATACGTCAAAGTCAACTGCACGTCCCTCAGCATCAACGGTGAGAACAGTAGGGTTAGCCATAGCAGTAGTAGGAGCAGTAGTAGCAGCAGTAACAGCAGTAGCAGCAGTAGCAGCAGTAGCAGCAGAGGCAGTAGGGCACAGTGGGCGGCGCGGCTCAGTGGGCGGCGCGGCTCGGCTGGGCGGCGCGGCTCGGCTGGGCGGCGCGGCTCGGCTGGGCGGCGCGGCTCTTCTCCTAGCAGCGCGGCGTAGCAGGGCGGCGCGGGTGCTTACCAGGGGCAGGTGCAGGTAGGGCCGCGACTGGGGCGGCAGCAGGGCAGGGCCGCAGCGGGCGGCTGCAGGGCAGGGCCGCAACGGGCGGCGACAGGCAGGGCCGCAACGGGCTAGTGACGGGCCAGCGACAGGCCAGCGGCGGGCGACGACGGGCCGGCGACGGGCGGCAACGAGCCGGGACAGGCCGGCGACGGGTCTGGACGGGCCGGTACGGGCCAGTGGCGGCGGCGAAGGCAGAGCCGCGGGGCAGGGCCGCAGCACGCGGCGAAAACAGGGCCGCGACGGGCGGCTTAGGACCAGCGACGGGCGGCTTAGGGCCAGCGACGGGCGGCTTAGGGCCGCGACGGGCGGCTTAGGGCCAGCGAGGGGCGGCTAAGGGCCGCGACGGGCGGTGAAGGGCCGTGACGGGCCCCAAGGCAAGGCCTCGATGGGCCTCTAAGGCAGAGCCGCGAGGGGCGGCACTAGGGTAGGGCCGCAACGGGCCTCTAAGGCAGGGCCGCGACGGGCGGCACTAGGGTAGGGCCGCGACGGGCCTCTAAGGCAGGGCCGCGACGGGCCTCTAAGGCAGAGCCGCGACGGGCGGCACAAGGGCAGGGCGCGCGACGGCGCAGGTGAAACAGGCGCGAGGCGCGCTTCGGGCAGGAAAACCGGGCTAAGTTTGGAACTGTGTCGCTGGCTGCATTCTGTGCTACGTATCGTGCAAGTAAGCTATTGTCT